TAATGCAACATGGAGTTCATTGTTAATGCATTTACTAAAAAAACATCAAGACTCAACTCAAACCAAACAAAAATAAATTCAGGCTGAAAAATCCTTCAGATTCCTTCAATACAAATCAAAGAGCTCAAAAAAGAAGAGAGAGAAAAGAGACAGCATCTGTAGGAGGAATAATACTCAGAATGATATCATACTGGAACAAATAATCAGGCAATCATTTTCACAGCCACCAGGTGGCAACATTTCTTCTTCTCCACTACAGATTTCCTGTTTGTTATTTCGTCTTTAATGTGTCCATCTTCCTTCATCACATAAATGAATCATTAAATATTTTACGTAGAAGACAAAGACCATTTAAAACTGAGACATTAGAATTACAGAAATATAAATCAGAGCTCTCTGTGCTTTAGATGGAGCTAAATACAAAATATATCAACATGAAAGAACAGATCAGCCTGTAAACTGACAGCTAAATACAACCTGGAATACAAAGACCATTTTTAGAAACTGATAGTTATTCTAAGAATGTCCACTAGATGGAGCCAAGTCCTTCGGAGCTGGTTTACTGAGTCTGTTAACTCTCATCTCTCTGTGTTTAACCCAGTCAGAACCTGCTGATGAAGTTCATTCATGTGCACATGGAAAAAAATGTTATAAACATTTTGAGTTATGAACAGTTGAGGCCGATGCCGGGGTCAGACTGTTTACATCTGTCACACGCGCCTACCTGTCACACCGTATCCACACAGCTCCCCCTGCTGTCCGACCTCCTCCAGTCCCTGCTCACATTACCAACAGACACCAGGACCGGACACCTGACTCTCCCGGCTTAAATAGAAAATATAAAAACACCTCCTCCCCCTGTGAGCTGTGTCCTCTTAAACACAAGGTCTCTGACCATTAAAACCTTGAACTCAACCAGTAAACTGGACTTTTTCTTCTGAACTGAGATGAATTAGCGCTGCTGATGTCTTGATGTATGAATGAGAATGTGACTGAGTCAACAACACTGAGCTGAAAATTGACAGGATGACTCATTATAAAACTTCCTCATTTTAATGACAAGAGTCAGAGTTTTTCCTGTTTTCATGTGTTGGAATCAAACTTCACTTTATCTTCAGAGTCAAACAGAAACAATGAAAACTCTCAGAATGAAGCTGGAGATGATTTTAATAACATGACATCTGCTTCTTTTACAATCACAGACAAGAGCAAAGAAGTGAAGCACATAGAGATGATGATGAAAAAGGTTTTTGGTTCTGTTTGAATGAAGTTAAAGAACAGATCAAACTGTCCTGGATGTGTGATTGATAAGTTGTTTAGCTGTTTTCAGATTATTCTAAACTTTCTGTGACTCCACATCTGTTTTGTTGGTTCTCTCCTCAGTGTCTGAGTTTGCATCACGTTGTCTTTCCTGCAGAATCCTGCTACTGATTGGAAGATGTCAAATTAAGTCTCTTGAGAATCTTGTCCAGCATGATTTTCAGGGTGCTGATATCAGGCACAGGATGTTCTACTTTGGCCACTGGGCTCCTGCGGATTTCAGAATCCTTTTCACATCTGTCTCCATAGTAACGATCTGGGCAGTTACACAGCCATTCATTGGAATCCAGCAGCCTCTCACACACTCCTTTGTTCTTACAGGGATCAGGGTCACAGACGGGTAAGGATTTGGAGTAATAGAGATGGATGTTGTAAACGTAATGGTCCAATGTACACTCGAAACTCTGCAGGGCATTTGGGTTTACAACAAAGTCATTAGCAGTTGAATAGCTGCTGTACATCACTTTGATATACTCTGTGACAGGAACACCAGCCACCTTATGACTGCACAGTTTTTTATGTTTAATATCCTCACACAGCATCCATTTTTTTATAAAATCTGGAGAAATAGCAACCAATTTCTCCTTGTAACAAGAATTCAACTGATTCTTAACTTCTTTTCTTTCTTCGTTTGTTTTCTGAGTATAGTCTACAGCCACAGTGATCTTACCCACAGGGACATTTGTCATATTATATCTATAGATGTAGTTTTGCTCCTGGTCTGTGTTGTACACCAGCACCACCCAGTTATACCAGTTGTACTTGTTGTCCAGAGCCTTTTTCACCTGATCAGCGATGGAGGTTTTGTCATCAGGATTCATTGCTTTTCCGATCTCCTCCACATCCTTCTTCATGTACTTCTTGTAGTTGTCCAGGCAGAATTTCAGAGCTGATATCTGAGCCTTGGAGACGGTCTTCAACATCTTGGTTTGTTCAGCTTCTTTGTTTGATGGGTTAAAACCAACCAGATCCCAGTAGAGCTGGTTGAGGAACATTCCCTTCACCAGCAAGCTGCTAAAATATATGTTATATTTACCGATCTCTCTGATGCTACATTTAAACTTCTTCTTCAGCAGGTCGTTGAGGTTTCCACTGAGAGACGTGCTGCTGACTGTCAGGTAATGGTAGAGGTTGGCCACACTGGCCTCAACTGCTGTGTTCTCATAGTAGTTGGTGAATATCTCTGCCAGTCGGAGTCTGTCTTCAGCAGTTTTTACCAACCCACTGTTCTCACGGAACTCTTCAAACTTCTTCCAGGCGTTGAGGATGCGGACCTCATCTTGAGAATAGACGCTGGCGTAGTTGAACCATTCTACATCTGTTGCCAGGTTGGAGATCTGGAGGGAGAGAGAGTCCAGTTTCCTGTTCACCTCAGCAAACCCTTCCCTCAGCTCCTTCACAGGGTTTTCCTGAGGGACAAATGCCAAGACCAAATTTGCAACCGGCGATGCCAGACGTATGAATTGAAGAGCAACTTTGGTGAATGCTGAGATCCCCTTCAACACACCTGACAATTTATCAGGATTTTTCTTTCCAATCGCTTCACTGATTATAGTCAGAGTGTCTTTTGAAAATTGCACAGATGCTGCGACCTGCTCCCTGGTACGGAAAGGCAGGACGCTTTTTACCCTGTGTGGTGGAGACAGGTCGGTGGAGGTGGAGTCATGTGACCGAGCAGAGGAGGTCGTCCAGTAAAGAAGGAGGATCAGTGAAGCCAACAGCATGGAGGTAGACCACCGTGGAGACGCCATGACTGCAACACAGATAACATAACATGGGACATTTTCCTTAATGCTGTACATTGAAGAGTACCTCACCCTCCCTTCACAACCTGCTGTTTTCTAGAAGTTTTCCTTATTCAGACTGACGGACTGAGAGTTTTGTTTGGTGCACAGACTGTGATTCTGTCCAGGACAAATTTGTGAAACTGGGCCATAAAACCAGCTCAGTATCCTGCAAATGAAGCCCATATTGGACAGTTCATTAAGATTTGCATCATGTCCTTTGATGGATGTGTACGTCTGACCTTCATACCAGAGACCAGAGTTCACATCCCATCACAGACCTGCAGGAACATTTGTCCCTTTATCAACTGAACCATGGCCACTCGTGTTTTTATTGTCTGAGCCTTCCCATAACTTACCTATAATTTATCTGATACGACCGCGATCTGTCCCTAATCTTCAGCTGTGATTTACAGATACTGTACAAAGGGGCAGTTTTTAAAACATTGTAAAATTGTTCCATATTGATGTTCTTGTCTGGTGAAATGGTTACATTAAAGTTACCTCTTCTGCTCAGAGAAAAGTTTGTTTAAGACCATGTAACTTACATAATTTACTATATACATAACTGTGTACTCTGCCAGTTTGTTAAAGTCACTCATTATGTTCAAAAGGAGGAAATGGACAGGTCTAATTTAGACGAATATATTAAAACATCATCTGCATATTGTCAGACTTTGAACTCTTGCTTTCTGATCTCACTTCTGTGTTGGAGCTGAAAGCAGCAGCAAAACATTCAATGGCCAGAGAAAAAAAGGAACAAAGAATGGTCAGTCCCTCATTATTACTTCCAGGGTTACATATCTATGGCTTATTCAATTCTCCCTAACCTGAGTTAAGAGTTACATCTGCTCCATAACTTACCTATAATTGAGAGAGAGAGACATGGGGAGAGGGAGGGGAGGGAGAAACTAACCTGAACATGATCAATAATCTTTGGTAATATTTGGTCAGAATAATTTTTTGAACTTCATCAAAACAACATTTCAGAACAAAGTTTAAATGATGTGTTGTAGAAACGACTGTGGAAAATGTTTTTGTGAGAAAAACATTAACATTTTAAATATAGAACATTTTCACATCATTGGATGAACACTGTGAAGTAATGACACAGTTCATGACTGTGGACAGAGCCTGCACAGGTTAATAACATCACAGCCTCATTATACTGACCTCACTGGTGTGTTACATCTTTTCTCTGTGAGCTGACTGTATGAAGCAGGTGATGACAAATGTTTCTCTAACTATAGCCAACATTAATATTGATTTTAAATGATCAAACAAAGATCAGGTTTTAGTTTCTGTCTCATGAAAACGAACCTTGAAGGAGCAGAGACCAGTGAAATGCAGCATTTTTACATCAAGTTCTCATTCAACAGTATTTAACATTTTCCCAGATATCAGAACAAAGGAGTCATGAACAGAGCGGCAACAAGTGGTAAAAGAAGTGAACAACCTGTGGTCAGTCATGTTTGTCAGTCAAAGACTCAGGCATGGAAACCCAGATTCAAAAAACCTGAACTTTCCACTACACAAGTGAAACAATGAGGTCGATCTGTGTCAAACCAGGCAGAATCCAGGAAAGAGATTTCAGCACATCTCAGGTTTGAATCTTTAATGTTCAGGTCCCAAAAATTAGGCCTGTAAAATATGTTTGGTCTCTCACATGTTTAAAATTATTATTCACAGCCTTAACAACCTTTGTAGGATGGAAGACAAACATATTCTCAGTTTGACTGAGCCATTAACAGATTGTACTGCAGCCTATTGATTTTCTATAGAGCCGCAGATTTGAGAGTGATACTGAAGGTATCATAAACCTGGATCTCTGTACATCATCTGTATGTAACTATGTTTAACTGTACGATCCCTGTTAGATAAATAAATGCTAAAGACTCAGACCTGGGAAGAAGCTTGGAGAGCTGGATACTGGACCAGAAAGGTGAGGCTGGTGGAGCTGATCAGCAGGTAGTCTGGATGGTTGTTGGATGATGGTCTGTGACCTCTGAGCTCCACACAGCACAACCAGTTATTCTTATAGGAGGCTGACTGACCACACCTTCCCTTCAGCCACATGATTCTCATCCACTTTGGAGCAGGTGGAGCTGGAGGCACAGAGGTTTACCTTATATGGAGAAATGATAGGAAGACGACTGCTTTATATGAAAAGACCAAAACCACAAAGAGATACCGTTCAACGGTCTGAACCACCTCGTCTTTACCAGTTAGAAAACACCACGTACAGGAGATGGCAGATGTGAATTGTAGCCATGAGACAGGGCTTTACCTCCCTTCTTCTCTCTCTTATACGCTGAGTATACACACTAATGTTAACAGAGTCTGATCCTGCACTTAGTTCAACAGGACAAAGAGAATCAGAATCAGGGCCTGGTGGTGGTACGCCTCCATAAACCAATCAAGTTTCAGGAAATATGGTCACAGTCTCCCCTTCTGTTCCTGAGGTATGGTGTTGAATAATGGATAGAAAGGTTATGATAATAATAATAATAATAATAATAATAATAATGGATTGGATTTATATAGTGCTTTTCAAGGCACCCAAAGCGCTTTACAATACCACTATTCATTCACACACTGGTGGAGGCAGCTACAGGTGTAGCCACAGCTGCCCTGGGGCAGACTGACAGAAGCCAGGCTGCCATATCGCGCCATCGGCCCCTCTGGCCAACACCAGTAGGCAAGTAGGGTAAAGTGTCTTGCCCAAGGACACAACGACCAGGACAGAGAGCCCGGGGATCGAACCGGTGACCTTCCGGTTACAGATGCGATTCCCAACCCCCCTGAGCCACGGTCGCCCATGTCCATGATGTCACACTGAAGCTAACCTTTGACCTTTTGGATAGAAAATGTCATCACTTCATCACTTTAACCTCTTAGGCCTCTGGCAGAAATTAGTCATAATCAGTACATTAGTTATGACCTTCCACCTTTGACCAAAATCGAATCCGTTTATCTCTGAGACCAAGTGAACGTTTGTGTCAAATTATAGGAAATTCTCTCAAGATGTTCCTGAGATATTTTCTCCATGAGAGCAGGACAGACAGACATCCTGAAAACATCATATCTCTGTCTGTTACTGGTGCAGAGGTTATCAGTAATCAGTATAACTGTAGGTGTCAGGCTCCTAACACAGCACAGTGTCTCTGTTGGTGATGATCTCCATCAACAGGCCCAGGACGACCCACCCTTCATGTCAGGGATCATCACCGGTGATCAGAGTTGGGTCTATGGCTGCGAGCCAGAGACCAGACAGCAGCCTTCACAGAGTTAGAGCTGCAGACCAAAGACAACGGTCCGGTACACCTGCAGCTGGTGCACTGCTGTGGCTCGTATCAGAGGGTAGGGACTAACTAAGTATATGGTGGTTTAAGTTGGAGGACTCGTCGACTTCATCACGACTGGGAAACTCAGATTTGTCTAAAAGCTCCAATGAGTCCAACTTGACACTTAATGAGACAGAAGAGGCTGAAAACCAAACAAAGATGGACGCCTCTGGTCAGCCAAAGTCTGCTGGTCATGTGATTAAACACTAATGTCATGGATATGGTGTCACATGTTGATCCTGACCAACGTCTGTCTCCACCGTCCATCACACAAGACAGAAGAAGTTCTTCCTGTTGAATCAATCAGACGAACACAGAGTGAGTCCTGATGGAACAGACCTGTGGATCCACCGTCACATTCAGTCTGACAAAGAACATCCAGTAATGAAAGGACTCTAGAAACTCAGTATTTGAATAGACAGCAGGTTCTGTTTGCTTAAATACACAGAGAGACGCTGATGGTGCAGCTGAGCAGCTGCCTCCATCTTTAAACAGACAGAGCAGCTCGGCTGCATCATTTGCATCCACTCAAACATCAGGAGACTACTACTACTATTACCGCTACTGCTGCTGCTATTATTCCTGCGACTACTTTGTTTACTGCAAGTACTACTACATCCAGTGAAATATTAGGAGAGGAAAACAACAACTACTACTGTTACTGCTGCTGCTACTTGTAGATTCAATGTGCTGATGCTCTGTCGTTATCTGAGCTGCAGTTTAAACCTGTTGTCTGGGTCAAAGTCACATGACCTCTGCTGCGTCCTCAGAGCCTGTGGTTTGCATCCAGTCAAACATCATGAGACAACAACGACTGCTATTACCCAGCTTTACCATTATTAATAAGCTATTACCACGCTTCATGTGCCACTGCTGCTAACAGCTGATGCAGTGGATACTGTCAAAGCAGAGAAAGTGCTGAAACTGCTCACAAACAGCCAGAAAACAAACAGAACACACTTCAGCTTCTGTCACAACCAGTCACTAAGTTCTGTTGTTTGGAAAGAAATTCAGAGAAATTCATGCAGCTCTGGTTTAACAAACCAATCAATAAAAGCACATGTTAAAATTGTAATTATACAATTGTAAAATAATATCAATTATATCTTCCAATAACTTTAAACTAATGTGTTCACATATTTCAATACCTGCCCCCACCAGACAGAGCTGCTTCAGTAATAACAGACAAGAAGAAGATGCAGATATTCTATAGGTGCTGTATTCTCTCTCACACACATAAGGTCAATTACAACACCCTAAAAAGAAGTGTTACAGGGCAGTAGGGAAAAACCACCGATCATCATATCAGGAAATACTTATGAAATTTAATGATTCAAAAACAAAGTCTGACAGGTGATCAACAAATACAAGGCAAAACCACAAAATCCAAATAGCTGAGTGTGTGAAAATGAAGTCTCACCTTTGTGTCATTTCTTCAGTTTTCTCTTTAATCTTCCACATCTACACTGCATCTGCTGTAACCGAACAATGATCCCTGTTTCCAAAACACAACATGACTGTGCACAGCCCTGACATTAATCAGAGGAAAATGATTTTTCTGGGCTTTAGACAAGTTTTTAAAAGAAAGAAAGAAAGAAAGAAAAAAAGATTAAAACTCCATGGCTCAAAAATACACAATCCCAAGACTAATAACTTACTGTGTTTATAGATGGAGATGTCCTGTCAACAGTTTGAGGAATAGTACAAACATGAGTCACTGAGATTAATTTATATCCATAAAGTGCATTTACCAATGAATCAAGACTCCAAACTCACACAAAAATAAATTCAGGCTGGAAAATCCTTCAGATTCCTTCAATACAAATCAAAGAGCTCAAAAGAGGAAGAGAGAAAAAAGAAACAGCATCTGCAGGAGGAATAATACTCAGGAGAATGATACTGGAACAAATAATCAGGATATCATTTTAACAGCCACTAGGTGGCATCATTTCTTCTCCTCCACTCCTCCTGTTTGTTATGTCGTCTTTAATGTGTCCATCTTTCTTCATCACATAAATGCATCATTAAATATTTTACCTCGAAGACAAAGACCATTTAAAACTGAGACATTAGAATTACAGAAATATAAATCAGAGCTCTCTGTGCTTTAGATGGAGTTAACTCTCATCTCTCTGTGTTTAACCCATTCAGAACCTGAATGATCAAGTCCATTCATGTGCACATGGAAAATAAATATATTAACAGTTCAGTGAAAAACAGATATAATTGGAGAATTAGAAAGAGAATATTGTAAAAGAGCAGTGAGTCTCCATCCACAGATATTTTGAGACGTCCTTCTACAGCTGTCCACCAGGTGGAGCCAGAGTTCTCCACACTGATTATTCTGGGTCTCATTTCTCTGACTTCACTGAGGTTTTAACTGAAAATCATATGTGTCCACACACACATGAACAAAATGAAAGACTGATAAATAACTGAAACAGGTCATTGTGCAATAAGTGTCCACGTTGAATCATGTGACAGTGTCGTCCACAGTGTTCCTGGACAGACACTGATATTACAGTTTTTTCTGATGGCTTGAGCACATTTTTTGTAACTATTGGCTATTTTTGCAAAACTCTTCACACAAATTAGAAAACCTGTCACCCAATGATCAAAACATTGTAGTTCTCTTGCAAAAGCAAACACAGCTAGATTAACTCTTCACACCTTCGTAAAAATGGTGTTTCCGTATCAAACAGTACACACAAGCCATCATCTACTAAGCACACAATGCGCCAACTGCACACTGATGGTATGAATACAAAACACATCTGGCTTTTGCTTCCTCTGTGCACAAGGTAGGCTATGTCAGTTTGAGCTCATACTTCTGTCATAGATCCATAAGCATAGAGGGATCCAAACTTCAAGTACTGCTGTTTATTCACACACATCAAAACAAACACAAGTGTTTATTTCCAAGTATAGGATTATTTGCAATCGCCATAATGACTATATGGGTTACTTGGTCTGCAGTGAACATGCTTCCTCTGCCCCAGCATCTGGTCATCTAGCAATTCTGTAAAGTAACAATTTCAGTATTTGTACATCAATGGTATTGGTGTGTTTCTCATTGGCATATGGCAGTGCTACAAATCTTTGTGCGAAGTGACTGTACTAACCGATTCTCATTTCAAGATGTCCTTTTGATACTTGCTCCAGTGTAGCGGCTCGAGTTAGGCTGGACCCGTTGGCCAGCTACCCTCAGGGTCATTCCACGGTTGATTACATGGTCCACTATTGTAGCTCTGATGTCATCAGCAATTCTATTTCTTACTCTTCCTACCCTTCCTCTCCCCCCTCCTCATCTTCCTCTCCCCCCTCCTCATCTTCCTCTTGCTCCTCCTTGTCCTTGTCGTCCTCTTCATCCTACTTCTTCACCTCCACGTCCTCTTCCTCGGCCTCCTCTACTTCTCACTCTTCCTGCTCCCTCCATTGTACTCCGCACACACAGCTTACCTGTATTATAGTGCTTAGGCTGATTGCAAAGTGAACTAATTATCTAAAGAAGTTTTCATATGTGAAAGTGTGCCAGACAGTTGGCGAATTAGTGTTAATGATAGCCATACATGTGTATACTTTTGCTAGGAGTGTGTTGGAAATTTGGTAATTGAGTGTTGTGCAGTGAATTGTGCCTACAGTTTTGCAAAGTGTGTGTTACAAAATTGCAAACTGAGTCCAAAGCAGTTTTTGTGCTTTTAGTTTTGCAAACTCAGTGAGTGGTTTTGCTATAAGTCTGAATAGTTTTAGAGATTGTGCTA